TTCAGCGTAGATACAGAAGCTGAAGGTGGGATGGTGAAGAACCGAGGGGCCAATTAGACATTGAGGTCATGGAAACTTGCTTTTTTGTTGTTTATTGAACAAAAAGAAGGCGGGGGAGGTAAATCGCATGCCTCTCCGAGAAGAAGTTCTGCCACGGGTAACGCCTGTTGGCAGTGAGCAATCAGACAAGTTGGGTTAGGTCAAAGCGTCAAGACAAGTCAGGGAGATTAACACACACACACACACACACACACACAAATCTTGCTTCTTAATCCTCTTTTAGCAGGCGAGGCCCACCTGCTCAGTCACATCTGCACTGGCACCATTTAATGAGTCAATGATGCATCTGTTGGGGGTTCTGACTGTACACTTCAGATGGCAGAAACTCCAGATACAGCACGCACATGTGCACGTGTGTGTGTGCTCACTAATCTCCTGACTTCTTGACCTTTGACCTAACCCAACTGTCTGATTGGCCCACTGCACAGGCGTTACCTGGCAGACTTTTCTCGGAGAGGCAGCGATTTACCCTCCCCCGCCTTCTTTTTGTTCAATAAACAACAAAAAAGCAAGTTTCCATGACCTCAATGTCTAATTGGGCCCCTCGGTTCTTCACCATCCCACCTTTCAGCTTCTGTATCTACGCTGAAATCGGGCTGTAATGACAGATAATCACCCCGGGATTTGGCAGAGAGAAGAAAAACGCCGTGCTGGAAGAAATTGCCGCGACGTAAAGCGAATAGTCGGTGATTATAGGGTGATCTGTGATTACAAGTAATGGCTTCATAAATACACACAGATAGCAGGGAAAGAGTGGAGAAGCTGCTGAATTATTGGATCAGTCACACAATGTATGTCACACCACTTTAAAGCAATCATGAGCTTTTGATTGTGGAGTGGGAAACGCGTTGATTATTTAGGAAGAGTGAGGAAGAATTTGTGCGTGTATGCATGTCACATGGCAGATCCCAATCTATAGGTACCGCTGGGTGAGGTCACTTTAGCTTCCTTTACTGCCAGGAAGCCTCTCTCTCTCTTGCTCGTGCATACACGCACACACACACACTTTCTCTCTTTTCTCTCCTCCCCTCTGGTTATTTGCCTTTTTCATTCCAGGGAGTGCCCTGCTTCACTGTCAGAATTGATCTGTAGCACTACACACTGCTGCAGAATTAGCTGTTAAAAGAAAGAAAAAAAAAGAAACACTCTCCATAAACGCTTCAAACCAGTTCCACAACTTCTCTGCGAGTCTCATCTCACATCTCATCTCGCTCCGCTGCAAAATATTGACTCAAGCTCTGAAATAACATTGATCTTTATTACAGTAATAATGGCATTTTTCTCTGCACAACCGCAATAAAGGTTTTCAATATTGTTCTCAACATCCTGAAGCCAAAAACATTTGAAACAAATGGCAAATGGAGCAGACAAAGAAATGAGTGGTTCAGGTATTAGCTGTATTTTCTTTAACTCTTCTCCCACCAGGCAGGTGGATTAGGAGCAGTTACTCATTTCCACAGTAGAGATATATCTCACTGAAATGGCAGAAAAGTTTATTTCCCTCAACATCACTCATCACTCAACACCATTTGTTATTCCTGAGCTGTTTGATCTGGTTTATTTCTAAATGTTAGAGTTGATGTAGTCAAAATTTATGGGGGCATTAATGTGAAAATAGAAATGTTAAAGTAATGTATATTACAGTGTGGGAGTGACATAGTGCAAGCTGAGAGTCAATTTGCAGTCATGACACAGCGACACACTAGGGGAGCTGGTTTAACACCCATAACACCAATGCTATGTCACTATACGGCCCTCAAGCTGGTTAAGTAAGAAAGTTTCCATCAGTATATTGTTGTAAAATAAATGGCACAATAATATATAGATTTAAATTATAAACTAGATTGAATTAATTTGGCTCATAGCTTGGCAGGCACGCAAAATCACCATGGATACTCAATAAAATTAAATATAATTCCACTAAATATAGATGTTGAGAGAGAGATTCAGTAATCAAACACCACACCCTGCCATATAACCATATATGGTCAACCTTGTTTCACCATTGGTCACATGCTTGTGAGTATTTCTGTGGCAGTAAATCACGAAAATAGATGAAAAGAGTTCTGCAGTAGCAGTGTGTCCATACACACAAAAACACATACACACACCGACACCTGTCGCTTTGAGGAGGCCAGTTCAGGGTATGCTGGGAAACCTCACCACCAGCGTAAACTTTCCCATTACATAAGATGGTACAGGATACAGATGTTGCATCACTCGCACCCCGTCAGCCACACACCCAAAAAACGCACACACACACATACATAGTTAGGTCATACAGGGTGAACAGGTGTTACCTTAGGTTAATCATCTGCGCGCACATTTGTATAAATATATCTTCATATACACATTTTCCAGCAAACAGATAAAACAGATTAAAAAAAGTTCAGCTTCACATCTGAGAATCAAATGAAAATATATTCTACAGCTTCAACAACTACATTATAATATGTTGTAATGCAGTTTGCAATACACAGCAATGTGTGGAAGGCCCAGGCCTGTCCATAGGCGTCAGCAGGATATGACTGGACATGATTCACGTGTAAAGCAAAAAAAGTTACACCACAACAGGGCATGAGGTGTGAAATTGGTTGTCATGACAACAAATACAAGGAACAAACAGGGATTTATAATCTATATTTTTAGACATTTCAATCAGAAAAATAAATAATTAAACAACTAAAAGATTGACAGAATAATCTGAACTCAGGTTTCACTCATTAGCTTTCTCCGGTACTTTTACATAAATACATCTTATAAATTTCATCATCGACAGCTTGAGTTTGAGCAAATTCCATCCACAGATGGTTTGTTGGAAGCTCCAGAATAAGCTAGTAAGTCAACCTGAGTAAGACTATTCTTTCTTGAGGTGAACTTTCACCCTCACACTGAAAAGTACTTTTTATTTCAAACTTAAAGTTAGGTTTGCACTGAAAAATCAAGAAAAAACAACAAAATTATATAATTTTGAGAACAACAAAATTAAGAACAATTTTGTTCTTTTCTGTTCCATCCCTCTATTTTGCCCTTATACCAACTGCATTAATTGCTCCTAAACAATATACATGAAGACAAAGGCAGAGATCTCTTCCTCTTTAGACAAAAGGTATTTTTCTCTGATTCCTCTTTCTTTCACTTCCTTTTACTTCTGCTTTTTTTGGTGAAACATACAGTGGCTTTTTGGGCTGGTTCAACTGGCAGGTCAGAGGTCACAATTATAGAGATGCCACAAATGCCACATCCTGTCTCTGCTCTGGGATCAGTGGTTATTCATGTGGAAGGAGAGTGTGAACACCACCCTGGGCTTCCTGTCCCCTCTCCACCTCATCCTCAAAGACTCACACAAAGTGTGACCTTTTCACAGATGGTTCAGTGTACATATATGCAAAGCAGCCATCTTGGCATTCTTGCATGATTGTAGATGTGTTCATGCACGTGACAAAACATTGGCAGAGATGATTACACATTTATGAGCTTCCCTAAATGGTTGTGGGTGTGTGTGAGGGCATGTTTCTCACCATTGTCATGTGGAATCATACCTGCAGTGATTATTACAGTGTGTTATTATGATGGACAATTGTTCTAGTCACCTGTGTGTCACAAACATTACTCATTGTGAAACACAATACATTGTGTCCTCTGATCACCTGCAGCTCTGTCATCCTTTTCTTTTCACATGGAGTTTTACTGGCAAGTGTATCAAACTGCAAAACCCAAATAAAATTATTTGGGGTGTTAATAGAGAATGAATGATAAAAAAGTTTATGAAACCAGTTTGTTGACAAATTAAAACATTCTCCATGGAGGTATTCAAAGCCACTGAGGCCTAACTGGAGAGCAAACTGATGAAAGTCGACCTTTCTTTGTGATCGGGAACCGTGAGAGACAAATGAGAGACGGATGAGAGATGGGTGGAAGGAGACAGAGAGCTCCGTGACTCTCTGACAGCTGAGGTTGTTTGTGGAAACCTGAGAGACGAGAGATGGGTTTGGCTTTCTAAACAAGGGGGTTTCGGCACAACAGGTGACAGCTATGCCTGTCCATACTATCTGTCTATTTTTACTATCTTCTCTCTCTTCATTCTTTTTTCTTTGCTCTGCAGCTGTATCCAGCTGCCTCTTATCATATCGGAGAACACTAAAGACAGAGATAGGAAAAGGACGAGGGTTGGTGAACAAACAGAAGGACGAAGGCAGTTGCATTTGTTTGGAGAATGTGAACAAAATGTGGCAAAAAACTGAACTAACTGCAAAATGTTATGGGTTATCAATTGACCTTAAGTTGGGAAAAGAAATAAAATAGACAAAAACTTGGCAAAACAGTGAGAATATAAAGAAACTTTGGCACATGGAGAGAGATAAAGGAATAGCTAAAGTTTGAAGGAGGCTGGGGGTTGTTGTTGACATGCAGGGTGGGTGTCTATGCCTCATTGTCTGCCCCATCTGTCTGGCTTTATCTCTACTTACCACCCCCTGGCCTCGCCACCTCCTCCTCCTCCACCACCTCCACCTCCTCCCCCGTGCTTCCCTCCCCCAGAGTCAGCGCACACCCTCCATTGTGCCGTGGTCACTCCCTCCCTCCCTCCCCACATGCTGGCAGACGACCAGGGAGCTTCCACCCACAGCAACTGGTGGCATTGTTCACATGCACCGCACACATATGTGCACAGTTGCCTGCCTGTCTACACTCAGGCATAATGTGAGCATCTGCTGGCACTGGAGGCATAAACCAGAAACACAAAGATACACATCAGATGGCAGAAATGCTGTTTGGGGAAAAGTCTGACCTTAATTTGTGCGGAAAAAAATACATAGTTGAATAATTGATTAGTTAAGGAATAGAAAACAATATTCAAAAAAAATTTAATAATACTAAACATTTACAGGTTCAACAAGATGCTATCAATTTAGTAGAAACAGATGTGGGATCAATTTGACGATGTCACATTGGACTTTAGGGTTCGTGTGATGGTCATTTAGCAGTTAACTTAGCCTAGCCTAACTTAGCCGAGAGGGTTCTCTCTAAGGTTCACCTCTAAAGCTAACACATTAACATGCCGTATCTTGTCTGTTTAATAAGTACATACATAAAAATGTAAAAACAGCCAATTATGGTTTTACATGGAATTGCGTGCTGTAAGTATTTCTTAGCTAACATGAACCCTGTTAGCTGATTTCCCCTGCTTCCAGCCATTATGCTAGCTAAGCTAAGTTAATCACCTCATGCCTCCAGCGCCACACACATGAGAGTGGTGTCGATCCTCTCATATAACTCTCACCAAGAGAGGTCATCAGCATATTCGCCAAAATCTCAAACTATTAAAAAATGTCAGAGCATTTCTTTGGCATAATGCAATGTGAACCAGCCTCACATTTCCCAGTTATTACTCCTGTCAATAAAACACCAGTGTATAATTATTATTTTCTGCTTCCTGTTGTCTCCTCCCTTCCCTGTGGCACACACACAGCCTTGATACACACCTATCAATGCCACATATAGGGATAACCCATAAACAAAGCTGGATTACACAGAGGGAAGATAAACACTGTTTTGGGTGACAGCAAACATGTCCTTGGTTAGAGGCAGGGATGCTGGAGAGGAGGGTTTAGTATTTCTCTTTGAACAGGTTTTGTTGTTGGCTGGAACCATGTGGACCCTCCTTTGTTTGGCTCCCATATTGAATTCTGTGAAGAAGAAAAAAGAAACCTGTAAAAACACCCTCTGTGTGGATACCTCAGTTGAAATTAGTTGAGCAGGTTTGTTCCATGCTGGCAAATTAAAGAAGGCTGGATAGCTGCAGACTCTAATTCCCTCAGAGAAAAAGGAGTGCACACACACAAAGACATCAAATGTGATACTTAGCACGTGTGCACAAACTCTCTCTCACTCACCACACATGCTCATTGTGAAAATACGCAAGGCATTAAACATTTGCAGACAATCATGCACTCAGTCACGTTGTATCCCTCTCCTGACAGACAAGCACAAATGCAGGCACCAGGAACTGTAGCCTATCTGATCTCAACACAAGAAGCCTCCTTCACATCAGCCTGTTAGTCATATTCATCATAAAAAAAGTGGAAAATTCTTGACCTATCAAACCAAATAAAGAGCTATTCATGCCTCTCCATTTTACTGTCACTCATCTCTCTCTTAGTGTCTCGACAAAAGCTTACTTTTTACAAACTGTAGTCTCAAAAATGGGTCTAAAAGTGATGATACTTCTTATTCAGATGCTTAAAACCAAGAATTATTTATGATGTTTAAGTCTCATCTGTTTTGGTAGATTTGTAATATCACACGAAGAGTGCTTTAATAATACATAAAGTATGTCCCTGGATTAAAGGAACCCTGTGGAGTTTTTGTCCATTATTAACACTACAGAGCAAGTTTGTTTTTCTTAAAGAGTGACAGTGACGTGGAAAGCAGTGCAGTGATTTGCCAACAAAGGCTGTGAAGAAGCAAGTATGAATGTTTAGAGAAAGTAAATAGAGCACCTTTAAATCCAAATTAAAAATGCGAGGTGTTAGGTGAGAGTTTTAGTCTTCTGAAAAATTATTAAAAATGAAATTAAACTGAAATTTTGCTGAACAGATACACCTCCAATTATCCAGCATGTTTAAACCAAGAGCACTTTTCAGTTAGCCATTAGCCAGTGGCTAACAAGCCACCTATTTGTTGCATCGACATGCATCACATCCTGTGTATGCAACAAATTTACATTTTTGCCAGGAATGTTGGCAGTACCAGTGGAAACATGCAAATAAAGGAGTTCTCACAGCATGCAAATACACTGAACGGCTAGTATTACAGTGAGAAAAATCAAACAATAAAGCTACAGAGTTCACACGCACCATCACTCATTGTCTGACATGTTGCTCCCGGTTCCACTGCTTCAAATAACTTCTCCCCTTTCTTTCTGCGGGCTTACTGGAGTTGGTTTACATGGTGAGTTGAAACAGCACAGTATGGTGACTATCGTGGGTCCTGTCATGTCATCACTTGGTCCTCAGTCTTTTACTAGTAGCTATTAATATTCTCTAGTCGATCCTATAGATGGAGCGTGATGCTGATTGACACCCTGCATGAAAGGGATGTAAGTTCAGTTTTGATGGACATGGAAAGACAAAAATAGTCATGAAGACAAACAAAATGTCAACATAATATAAAGCTTGTATGTAAATGTGTAACTGTACTTGGACACAGTGAGACGTGGATGTTTGAAATCAGAAGTAAGTTAATACATGTTATATCCAAAGTAAATACATATTACGCTATAGCACACAGAGTCCTGTAATCAAGCAGACAACAGATCCTTGCATCCATTTGCACTGACTGAGACACACATAGACACCGCACACACTTGAATACACACTCGTACGCCCCATCTGACATCCAGTTTGCTAATACTTAAAAGACAGCGCAGCCTTTCCTCCCACCCACCCAATAATTTAATGGAATCAAAAAGTAGGCCAAGCGCATACAGCCACAGTCAAAGACTTGCTTTCATGTTCCAACGTGCCACTGCAGTTTACATGGTGGATCTACATAGTGTAAAATTTCCATTTTCCATCCTTATAGAGGAAGGAGGAAGGGAAGGGAATGGAGACAAACAGGAATTAAAGTCCCAACTGTAAGAGTAGCTTTTATATATATGTCAAACTGAAGACTCGGCCAAGGTGCTCAGCTATTTTTATTGGATAATTTAATAACTGTAATGTATTTCATGGTAGAAATATGGAGTAGAAGGAAAAGAAATGGAGGTTTGATTTGATCAATGTCAAAGATATTAAATTAAATCCTAATTTGTAATTTGTCTAGCAGTTTCTTACCATGTCAGCCCCTTCATATGGCCACAGTGTCCTGAAGTCCACAATTCCAAGAAAACCAAAATTTGTTGTGTTGTTTTCCGGGTCATTTGGTGCACCCTGGAATTCTGTTTTTGGCAAAGTGAACTAAGGCAGGAAGTAGGGTGTGAACCACAGCTGTTTTAACCTACTGCGCCTAGTCATGAAAAAAAAAAAAAGAAATATGCAAGGAAGCACAGACAAAGACAAGAAGACAGACAGAAAAAGCTACTTGTGCCTTTTGGAGAGGTCAGCAATTCTATACAGGGAGTGGAGTGGCTTTTCACAGAGACGCAGCCCAGTTGTTTTCGGCTGCTGATGCACTCGACAGTTGAAAAACAACCCCAGCTGTGGTGGAGAGTCATCGAAGAGCCAAAAGCTGGGGGCATACTGAGAAAGAGGACAGAGAAGGGAGAAAGAGATGAGAGAGAAAGCAGGAGAGAGAGAACTTCACAGAGAGAGAGTGAGGAGGAGAGTGCAGGAGAGACACGGAGGGAGATTAAAAAGAAGAGAGGACTCGGATATGAAGGGTAGCAGATGTTTCCCTTATGAGAGTATTAAGAGTTGAATCCTTCTGCCCACACACTCTCAATAATGTGCTTTCATGTTCACTGTGATATAGGCCAGTGGAGCACACTGTGAAATGTGTTTACTTATATTATGGTAGTGTGCAAAGTCTATACATTTCCAATCAGCATACACAAGCTCATACGCTGTGCTTTCATGTCTGTGTGCCTGCACGTACAGTGTGTTTGTACAACTAAAAGTACAAAGCTGTACCAGCATGTTCTCAGAGTGAAACAGCATGTGAGTACATGTGATGTGGGCATGCCGGCGCCTGCGTGCGAGTGCATTAGCCTGTGTATATCTACCATGTGCTCTTATCAAGTCTTTATTTACGGTCTAAGCAAGGAGCAGTAAGATGACCTCCTCCTCCTCCTCCTCTGCCACTGTGTACTTGTGTGTGGGTGCACCGTATGTGCATTTTTCCCCCTGACACAAGTAGGCCAACAGAGAGCGCACGGCGGCACTGGAATGCATGGCATGGGTCCAAACCATTCCAGCCAAGCCTGCACTAAATCCTACTAGAACTGGCCCGAATGCAGGCGGAGGGGTTGCAGCACATATCTCCCCCCACCACACCCCAACAGCTGTGATGGGGGCGGTGGAGAATGTGTGTGTGTGTGTGTGTGTGTGTGTAGGGTCTCCTCCTTAGTCCTCCACTGACTGGTGTAGTGTCCATATCTTTGTGTCTGTGTTTATCACCCACTTTTCCTAGCTTCTGCTTTTGTCTCTCGCTCTTTTTGGGTTGTGGTTGGCAGAAACATGAAGTGAGAAGACAAGGAGGCCGACACTGCATCTGCAAAATATTATAGAAATCCTCCTAATATTGAGTTGCAAGAGTATTTTTCTATTTCTGCTTCTCTCCGTCTGCATAATTTTAATAGGTGAAATCGATAAGGGATTCACCTCATCAGTGCACATCATTAAAAAAAGTGGGTGTCTTCAATCTTTTGTACTATTAAAATGAATAAAAAGACTGTCTGTTCTCTGTGGCTTCTCTGCTTTCTCCATTTATCATCTTTTCTTCCCACTGTGTCTAGCTTTTTTCTCTTCCTCTGTTTTGCAGCCAGTGTCCCCCAACTGCTCCGGCTGTCTCCAGGTACCTCTGGAAAGCTCTATGGCAATGTTTCAAATGGTTTATAATCACTGCTGAAGGTCCAAAATAGCAGGAGGCGACGATAATGGACTGTATACAGCAGAGTGAAATACACCTTCTTCTATCTACATCCCATGACACACTTAAAACCTTCTTTCTATTAACCCACTCTCTGTATCCCACTCTGTGCTGTCCCATATATAACCGTAAGATAACCCAGAGTTATATTCTCCACACTGACAAGTTCATACGTGCAGGGTGCTACTGAGTCCCACCCCACTTCTGGGTTAGTTTCTGTTCCACTGGCTTTGATTGCTCAAAGTAATTTCCCATATAAGACTTCTTTCATCGCTCTCTCTGAAAAGCTAAATGCAATTAACATTAGGGTATCATACATCCGTATTCTAAGCTGTTTATCTACTACTAGCCATTAGTGAGCTGTGGCTGCATTCACACCATATTTCTACAGTTTAAAATGATATAATTGATGATAATACACTATAATAAGTTAAATAATTGCCACCATGAGTTGTCAGATCGGTTTATGGAGTGTTTAGGCGTCTGATAAACCTTCAAATTAAGGGATCTGTTACTCAAACCTAGATGATCATATACCATTGTCTCACCAGTGCCTGATGCAACCAAAACAGGGGCAGAGCTAGAAAAGAGCAATGGCAGACTGGCTGTCCGGAGAACCAGGAGTTTTCCGCTGGACACCTGGGCCGATAAGTATAAAACAACAGACACAAAAAACTGCAGTTGAAAATTGATTGGTATGTGCCTTGATTGACTGGCCCATAATGTTGTGCAGTTACTGGGCCAGACTTGGGTGGGTGGGGCAATTGGCAATGGTCAACCAAACAGTTTCACTTATCCCTGCGTCGTAGCAAGTTAACTTTGGCGCACGTGGGTCTGTCCCACCCCCTTTCCCATCGCTGTTGTCAATCAATCAGACACCTGAAATGGATGAAACACGCACCTACCCCTAGCCCATGTACCGGTGCATAAAAAACATTTCAGGAAAGACAACAGTGGTGCTGAAGAGTTGAGGGAGAAGAAAAAGAAGTGGCTCCAGGCAGATGCAGCAAAGTGCCTCAAAATTACTGACTCTTCATTTGGTGATGCTGCTGCTAGTTCTACCACCACCAGGCAAGGCAGACCCAGTATAAGCGGTGACAAATGCTTTCTCCAGAGAATGGCCGACCATGGACAAATTCCCAGGCCACTTTTTTGTCCCAGTCTGCCCCTGGTAAAGGGACCCTGTATGGGAAAAAGTGTTGAATGTTTGTAGGCCTGGCCACCAGGGGCAGCATCAACATCTAAAGGTGAATACAAGATTAGCCAAAAGTTCAAAGCTCTGCTCCACACTGGAAAAAGTGATGAAGTCTATTAAGCCCATTAGAGAGCTCTACCTGTGCTCATAGAATTAGGGTTACAGTGCATAACCTTAGTTATTTATCCAATTCCAGGTTGTGTATCTTTCATGGTGAAGTGGTATGTGGGTAATGAGTAACATATTAGTCCCGTAGGGAAATTAGTCTGCTACAGTTACTCATTAAGCTGCCAGTCTTATGTAGGTCACGGCTGTTTTTGCACGTTAAATGTTTTTCGCCGCTGCTTTATCATCCATATCTCACAGCCACAGGAGCCAGAATATCACCCAGAGACACAAACTCACTCAGTGTGGACCAGTTAAACTCAGCAATGTTTGGAATAAACACATTAGTCTTGGGTGTTTCAGGTGTTGCTGTCATCATTTCTGGTAAACGCTTCTATTTTAAGTCCTGTGCTGGTAAGGAAGTGAGCAGGGAGATGCTCATGATTATTCAGGAAAATTAAACATCTTTTTAGTGTGTACATGTATGTGTGTTTGCGTGTGTGCGCGTGTGTGTGTGCGTACATTGTAACAACCAAGAGTATTTTGACTGTAAGCCTCTGTTATGTTTTATTAGCTCCAAGGTGTTGTTTTGACAATCTCGTTGTTATGTTAGAGCTGCAAGGCCAAGTGTGTGCGCCTGCTTATGTAGATTTGTGCATAACCAAGTTGTGTTCCCTTTTTCGCTTGGGCACAGAGTGTGCTGTACATTTTACACCTGCGTGTTTTCACTAACACATGAATGCTGCTGAATGTTACGTCTTAAGTGTGGGTGTTTTGAAGCCGTTTGACACAGCTGTGTTCATAGTGGTGAAGAAGAGTTGCAGAACTTCCTGTCAGCTGTTTTCTCAATCTCAATGTGTTTCCCCAGTTCTCAATTAAACTCCTTGTCTCTTATCTCTGAATAATTTCTCTTTCTTTCGCCATCTCTTTTCTCTCATTCAGGCCATATTTTTGTCCTTCTTGAGCTCCACATTTCCCCTTGGTGTTCACAATCTCTCAATTTATCCTTGTGTCTAATCTCTAATTTACCCTAATTCCTGATCCGATCCTTCCCTTTACTGAGTCACCTCCTTTATTCCCCCTTTGTATCTCTCCATCTCTCAGTGTTGCCTCTCGCTAGCAAATTACATCTTCCCATCAACATAAACAGGAAACAGCTGAGGTGTTGTGTTCGCTTGTCTTTTTCCTGTCAGTTTCTCAGAAAACTAAACCAAACCACCGAAACAAGCCAGGCACAGCAGGGCTGATCATGTGGTTGGAGGTTAGCAAGCTGCACTGTGTTTACAAGCAGCAGGGGCTTTAAATGAACATGTGCTTTAAGGTAAAGAACACAAAAACCTGCTTTTTTGGTTTCTCTTTTCCTGCTGAACTGAGATTTTTCATTTTTTCACATTTTCAATCTAATTAAACTGAAACACTGATGATCGACATCTAATTTACAGCCTTCAATAATGAATCAGATTGTGACACAGTGTGTGATGCAACAGCAGCTTGAAGTCGAAAACAACTTAGGTGAAGTGCGTGAATTTGAGGATGTGAACCTTGTATGTTCTGGTGTTTGTGAAATGGCTTCTGTCATAATGCCTCTCACTGGGGGATTTTCTCCTCCAGTCAGCAGAAAGCTGACGGCCACTGATGCAAGTGACCTTCAATCCAAGCCTCTGTGTGTGTATGTGTGTGTGTCTGTTTATTGAAGTGAGCACAGTCTACCCACTGTGTTTGTCTACGTGAATGAACTGTCTACACACTAAGAGCTTGTGATTGATTGCGAGTGCATGTGTCCTTTTTATATGGAGGGGTTCAAACTAAATAAATCTGTGGATGTCTGTTTCTACATGTGTGTGTGTGTGTGTGTGTGTGTGTGTGTGTGTGTGTGTGTGTGTGTGTGTGTGAGCATGCATGTATACATACTTGCACCTCAGTGTGTGTGGCCAGACCTCATGCAGAGGCCCTCTTACTGAGCCCCAAGGCCAGACTATATTTAGGTGGCTGGTTTCTCTCTATGTCTCTCCCTCTGAGTGGTTGAGAGCGTTGCCTACTGATTGGGAGAGGTC